AAGCTGTATTTATTATCTGTGCTTATTTCAGAAATGAACTGTCAAATTATGATAAGAATCAAATATATTCTATACTAGCTTATGCCAACGGCTTAGCCAACGTGTATGTTGTTTATTGCTGTAAAAAATAGCCAATGTCTTTCCTCATACCAAATTTCATGTAAATCGGTTTGGCGGCTATTGATTCCCCATAAAACTTTCACCCACCTTCAAAACTATCCTGTGTCCTTTTCCAGGACTCAAACTAGCTCTATACCAAATTTCATGTAAGTTGTTTCAGCGGTTTAATAGTGAAGAGGGAATAGACAGACACATACAGTTTTGCATTTATAATATTAGTATATTCTTGTAATGTTTTCTTTACAGTATAGGAGGGTAATCTAGCAGACAGGTCACCTACTGTATTTATTCCAATTTAATTGTAGAAAGTAAGCTAAAAAGGTTAAGTGAAAACTTGTTACTAAAGTGTAAGTAGATTTAGTGATATTTCTCAAGATCTAAGTCACTTACATGTTTTAAAATATTCTTAAAATATTGTTTATCTTGCTTATCCACCATAGATACACATCACGAACACTAGTAAGCTCATTTAAATACACTAATTGCAAATATACACTTTAATTTCAATTATCGCGCAACGTTGACGTGTGATACTAGATCTACGGACGACTAAAAACCTCTAAGACATTACATACTGATTAAGGAACATTCACCAATATTTACCGACTCGGTTTATAGAAAAATCAATGCTTAGAGGTAATTTAGGGTATCGACATTGCAAGGATTGCCTGAACATTTATCATCACCTTTATAAAGAGTTGGGTGCCCTTGGACGTTGCTCTAGGAGGGTTAGCCGCCGCCCGCGATCGATGTTTTAATTTAAAATGATTTACTCCACAGTACTTGAATGACGAAAAATCTTTATCACGACGACTTTTTGATAACTGGATGTGACAGATCATGAGCGTTTACGAAGTACGACATTTAAAAAATTATGATGTGAACGTTTTAACTATCTTTATAAACCGTAAACTTGAAAATGTGTAAACATCGCGGTATGGAATTCACACTTTAATTAAGATGTATACGAAGCAATTGGAGAGTGTTTAGAGACGATTTCTTTACCATTTATCGTATGGAGATCATCTGTTAAGACAGTACATGAGTTATAAGGATAGGCTTAAATATTAGATGACATAGACACTCGATCAAGAGACACACTCGATCTAACATTCCTCTACAAACTAGTTAACGGAGTCATATATTGCAACAAACTTTTGAACTTGCTGAGAATAAATATTCTAACTCACATTGCCAGAAACCAATTTTTAACTTTTTCACTGTGACACACTTACACTAATTTAGATCACTGTTGCTATTCCCAGGGTCTGTAGGTGATATAATGCGTTGTCCAAGGCTCATGAAATAAATATTTGATAGCCCTCATTGGAATTAGGAAAACTTTGAATGTTGTTAATATTATTTCGTGCTGGTATGTTAATTGTATTTAAATTTGTTTGTTATTTAATTAAAGGCGTTCAACAATATAAAACAAAAAGTGGAATTATTATATTTTATTCTTTACGTGTTTCGATCGCCTTTCATATGTTTTTAATAATTTTGGAGTTTACTCCTTAATAATCGATTTTCACATAAGGTATGAAAAAAATACGAAGAGTAAAATTTAGTGATCGAATAACCTCGTTACGTTTTTTGTGCGAAACCAATCGTGTGCATCTTTCACTTGTGTGTGTGTGTATAACCTGTATACTTGTGTGCAGCCGAATCGTTTTTAACGAATAAACTTCAGTCGTGCGTCGGAGTTGACACACACACTTTTTTAGCTATAAGCTAAATATTAATACCCAACATCAGTTCCCTTGGAGTGTAGTGTAAGTACCTACTTACGTACAAAGAACAAATGAATATGCTTATAAAAACATTTTTTACTGCCAGTTCTTTTACACAATCATGTAATGTAAAAAATTCTCTAAGTTCTGGTTTGCTTTAATATTACCTACGTATAATTATATTGTAATGTGTTATGCGGATGGCTACTGATAGCCTTAATCGGATTTTATTTAGAATAATAACGCGTTATTGGCGTTATTATTCTTAGAGATTTTACGTCTGAACATTGACAATTAGTCAAAATTTTATTGAATAAACCGTTCCATCCCCTGCATGGAGCATTGAAAGTAATTTTATTTTATGTTACGACGTGTCAAGAGTGTTTGATTAAAATACCTTTTATGTCAGTTGCGAGATCGACAGTTGATCGGAACTGAATTGAGACCGAACTTTTATTACGAGATTTCGCCTTCAAAAATTAGACTTTTACTGGAAAAGAAAACAGTTGAGGAGGCCACTAAATTTATTGATGAGGTTATCTCGGAAAGGAGTGCACATGATACGATGAATGAGGATGTTGTAATAAAACAGCTGTTAATTTTTAAATTTATGTACAAATTATGTAGGTACCTACTTGATTATTTACACTTTAATATTCTGTTCTAGGTAGGCTATAACATAATGTACAAGCTTATCAGTACAAAGGAATTCGTCCAGAAAATATAAATTTGTCTTAGGTATATGTCAATCAAATCAAAGTATTATTGCCTGTATAAAAAAAATACAGTGAAGTATTTAATAATCTGTCAAAACTGTTAAAAACATTACAGAAAATGAGATAAAAATAACTAATTTGACCTAATAATTTTTTCTTAAATATAACATATCCAACGATTTCTTTCACGGTAATTCAGGGAACCATAGAAAGCTGAATTATTAATTCCTAAGAAATTTTTGCTAGTTACAAAAACGCCATATTAAAAGCTAACAGAGGTTATTTTTCAGATGAATTTTAACTTTTTGTGACCTTTATTTTTCAGAGGAATTTCATCTGAAAGATAACCTCTGATAGCTTTTAATATGGCGTCTACATAATTTGTACTAGACCTTATTTTTTATTCAGGTTTAGAATCCACATCTTAGTACAAGTGTGTACAACAATTTGTGGATCACACAAAGTGTCGTCCCATGTGGGGATCAGAGGCGACCGCTTACACCGCTACGCAATCCGTGCAGTCAATCACACTGACTCATCACTTTGATTCTTGAGGAAGGACGTGCTTACAAATAGGCTAGCTTTCACCACGATAGCCAACACTGTAGATATAAGGCCGGTTTAAAACCAATAAAACCAGTCCGTTTAAAACCGAAATAAACTTTTTTTTCCGATTTAAAATGGTTGGTGTTGATGACTATGTTTTTCTTAATTATAACTACATTTTCTTGATTTTACCGAGGTAGGGATATGACGGAGTACCTATAAACTGTGTAAATATTTTTAAATGTGTGATATACGTGTAAATGCCCTGGGCATTAAGTCCGCCGATGTACAAAAGTGAATAAAGTTAAATAAATATACTGATATTGATATACTTTGCGGGTTTAGTTCTAGTTGGTCCGTCCGACCAAGCTTAGGTACTACCTACTTAAGTTATAAAAACTCTGTTAATAAGTTAAAAACTCTGTGTTGGTAAATATACATTTTTTATTGTTTTCAAACGATACAAATAATCAATTTGATTTGGTTTAAAACCAAACTCACACTCTCGCACTCTCGTTGACACCGTCGGCACCGGCGTGACGGCCTTGAAGACATAACGTTTTCTCTTTCATGCGCAAGTAAAATGGACGGCATTGTGTTAATGATGTCTTTTAATCTAGTGTGTGTAATGTACTCGTATAATAAATAAGTATAGGTAGGTATACCTACATACTATTATATTATATGAACTAATTAAAACGAAACATGACGAAGTGTAAAACACAGTTCTTTTATTTTTGTAGATGAGTTTTCAACCGTTTAAAACGCTTTATTTTGGGGTTTAAAACGGCAACATTTTATTTAAAACGTTTTAAATCGTTAGTTTTACATCTACAGAAAACACACTAGTAGTACACATAGGTATATAACTTACACCACAACCCTAACATGATGAATGGCCACAAACTCGAGTCGAACTGCTAAAGGTTTAGTATATTCTTGAAAATAATAGTTTTATTAGCCATGTAAAGAAAATTATTATAAATTATGAGGTATAAGACATGTCTGTATTATTTAATTCTAATATTTATTCTACATTCGTGTTTTAATGTACACTTATTCAACACTGCTATTATGAGCTAACTGCTGGGCAGCGATGCAGTGTAACAAACTCAAGAATAGGGTCAAGTCAAGTCAGAATATTTTTTAAACGTCAAAACGCTAGGCGCCTTACATTGTTGTATGAAATGCCTGCTATTTCGTGACCCTATTGTTAAATCATTTATATTTAATGTTGATATCAAATCAATAAAAAGATTAAATTGATAATGGAGGACAATTTATTTAGGCCCCTTCTTTAAGATGTTACGTATAATGATGCAGGCGAAATAATTTATTTTCAAACCTAGAAATCTACCTTAACATGATCTTCATGTCTTGTTTGTGTGAGCACTCTCACACAAACAAGATATTTTTGTTTATATATTTTTTTAAAACGCTTATTCATTGTGAGAGTGACTGTTGTGTTTTTCGTTTTTTTTAAATTATTCTTGATAAACGTCATTAAAAGACTTGCAAAGTCACTCTGTATTTTGTTATTGACGAATAAACTCGCCATTATTACATTAAGTATACATTTAATCCATTATACATTTAATCGTAGCTTCTTATTCTTTTCCTTCTGTCGTACACATTAAAGACTACAGGTAAAAAATTAAAAATAATATCATAAACTAAAACTATCACAGCTTAAAATATCCATTATCGGAAGGATTATAGTATGAAGTTTATCCGCAGTATCACTATTGGTTAATAAATACCCTCAATTATTTGAAATAGATTATTGCGATTCGATGTTCGCATTACAACTTCATGTTGCTAAGTTTTTAAATGTTTTGTTGTCGTCTTAATGTTCTATTTAATTCCCAATTCATTACAACTAGGTCCTTTATGTCTTTTTCTCTGAATTCTCAACTTCGGTTGTCGTTGGTTCGGTAGGTTGCAATGTCCGGTCATCCGGGAGAAAGAACGCGGCTACGGCAGCAGCTGGAAATATAATAATAAAGTTCGGGATTAGGAATGCTTTTTCAATAAGCGAAGAACTGGCAAAATACCCGAAAAGGCTAAGGATTACCTGAAGTTGGTTGTCTTTTTAGTAATGTTTATTAGTTAATTATTTAGGCGAACTTGAGCCTGTCACCTCTATTACAATTCAATTATTTTTCTGGTTTTCATTTGTTTAAAATTCATTGAATGCTAATACTCACATATGTATAAAGTTCCAAAAAAGTAGAATCCAGCGGCACAGTTCACTTTAAGCAGCCAGTTGAGGATCTGTATCGAAGCTACTATCCCTAAATATTGAGCTACCATTGTGAATGCGATAGCCATTGCTCTGTAAAATATCAATATTTCAGAGTTTTTAATTAACTAGGTGATACAACAAATGTCCTTAAAAAAAGTAGTATTTGATAACAGCGCCACCTGTCGGCTTTAATTATAGTTAAGCACTTATCGACCAAATCGGAAAAATAATTTAAAACAAAATTATTTTTATCAAAAAACTGTTTTTAGGTAGGGCATTGTTGTTTAATGATTTTTTGAAGTCGTTTTAAATATATATTTTTAATTTTTCTATTTTTAGTTAAATAATTATAAAAATGTAGTAAGTTGAACTGCTTCATATAAGTCGCGAGAGATAGCAACCTACGGAATATGACCACCTTCAAATGTTATTCCTGCTGATGCGAATAACTGTGGTGGTTTGATTGCACGTATCGAAACTGGGCATAGGCTTCAGAGTTATGCTAAAACGCAACATTTCTATTACTAAGGACATGGTCTGGTCAACGGGACAATGGGGATCTTGTTCCAATTTAAATGGCCTCTTCGATCAAATAGAGTTGAGTTAGCCGATTCAGTTTCTTTAAAAATACTAGTTATACCTTGTCATGCTTCGCTGTGGCATATTGTGGTTGCATAAAATAGATAAAAACTATCTTTGAAGATTGTTGTATATCGTGTCAAAGCTTGAGCTCAATCAGTACAGAACTTTTTCAGTTTTTGAAGTGTACCTACAGAGACCAACTTAACATTTTTATATACTTATATGTTATAGATGATGACGACTCGATTGCCACAAAATTAATAGACACAAGACAGGGGTTAGTGGACATAGCGCCTGTGTTAAAAACTTACGGGGTTATTGAACGGAGAATGCTACCGCTAACCCTCAGTTGCGTGGTTACGGTGCATAAGCTGACGGGCACTATCCTTAAATTCCCAAAGGCATTGTTTATATTGAGCTAAGTCGCAAAAAGATGGCGTAATGATGATTTTGCTATTTGCGACTTAGAGCCAACAAAGACAAAAAAAAGTAAAAGCTATGTAATTGTAAATATTAAAATAAGAACACTAAGACAAGCTAGGTATGTAGTGTAGGTTGTTAATCCAACCCTTAGCGTTGCATGTCTTTTTGTTTCTTATAGAATATAAGCTACTATATCGGCCTTGTGGACTTTTACCTTTCAGTATCAGCTCACCTGAACGACTTGAAAGAATACAACTAAAAGTCTATACATATATATGGTATTTAAAGAACTATCCTCCAATTCCTAACCGTTAAGGAGTTGTACCTTCCATCACCATCTCATCAACATGAGATGATGTCTACCAGATGCAAGTACTACTATAGCTTTAGAAAATATATGAAACACATACTTCGTGCCTATAAAATTTGAGAATTGCCCTCGATTTCCCTGGGTTTCCATCATCAGATCCTGACTTTGTGACAATGGTACCATCTCAGGATTATTCCTTTTCTAACAAAAAAATAATTTTGAAAATCGGTCTATAATTGACGGAGTAATCGGTGAACTTACATAAAAAAAATACACACCGTGGAACCTCCTCCTTTTGAAGTCGATTCAAAAGTAAATACAATATCATCGCTTATCGAACAGCACCGCTCAATTTATTTTGACGGACTTGAAAGTGAAAAAGTAAAGAACAAGGAAGCGAAAAATAGCTAAAATGATTGATTTCAGGAGTTTATAACTTAGTTTTACTCTGTTCATGGTCTCGTCTCAAAAATAAGGAGCGTTATCACCCCTATTCATTCCATAAGTGTCGTAAGAGCTGACTAAGGGAACAAACTATGCAGGACAACATCACTGCAAAGAGAAGGAAAACTTAAAACAAATCCTATGCCAACTCGTCTGGCCAGCGTGGCCTAGTAGGCCAAAACATCCTTTCTAAGGAGAGGCTTATGTCTAGCAGTGGACTACTAAAGGCTGTTGATGATGATGATTAAAGGTTTTTTTCTTGTTTTTGAATAGGTCAGTTCGTAGTTATGGAGAACTATTAACTATGGAGAACTATCTCTCTGTGTGTGAAAATAGTTTCCGCTTCAATTTCGCGTCAAAGCGTCAAATTATAGTGGCGACACGGTTGCAAGGTATAGCAGCAAGGATAGTAAATAAAACAAGGAGAGAAAATTGCCGCTTTGTTAAGGCGCACTTTTCAAAATGATTATAACATAGACAAACGTTGATATTGAATAATTATATTAATAATAATATATTAAAGTACTGTAATTCAACAAACTTCACTCCGCCTATAACAGCTATATTCATGTCATTTGGCTACACTAGCGCCATGCTGGTCGGTTTTAGAACTATTAATTGCCGCTTTTTGATGGACATTTTTACAGTTTGATGTCCATATAAGATAGTGCTCCTTACCTCTATCCTCCATATTCGAAATTTATCTAAGTAAAAATAGCCTAATGTTTATCAGGCTTTTTATAAGTAGTTTTTTGATTGGATTTAAAAGAATTATCTTACCTCAGGTTCGTAGGGAACAGGGCAACACAGATCGTGGTACATAGCCCAACCACTACGGCACCCAACAGCATAATACAGAACAACGTAGCGCTGGCAAATACATTAGGTACTAAATTCACGAGGATTCCACTTCCTCCACACAGCATTATCACGATTATGGAAATGTTCCGCCTCCCCACAAAATTGACCAACTGGAATAAAAGATTAGACATAACATTACCGTTGGTCCAACACAGGCTCTGGTGAACGAGGGAACCTCAAAGGGTGCAAGGCACTTGGGTCTCTTAAGTTGCAGGGGACCATGGGCGGTGGTAGTCACTTAGGTACTATCAGGTAATCCGCCTAGTCATTTGCCTTCATACATTAAAAAAAGCGGCTAAGTGCGAGTTGAACTCGCGCCCAAAGGGTTCCGTACCATTGTCTATAAAAACGGTTAAATATAAATTATTTGTTTTAAATATTTATTTTTTAAATTTTATTTTTATATTTAATTTAATTTAAATATGAGTTCGTATTTGTTGTTATTGCGGCAACAGAATTACATCATCTGAAAAAATTTCAACTGTCTAACTTTTACGGTTCATGAGATACAGCCTGGTGACAGACAGAGAGACAGACAGACGGACGGACGGACAGCGGAGACTTAGAAATAGAGTCTCGTTTTACCCTTTGGGTACGTAACCCTAAAAACATAAGTCAATTTGAATGATTCAGTGATTTCATTTTCATACAGACCATTTTTTAAAATTATGACTTTCTATGAATATTTTAGTGTTAAATACTTATATTTTATTATATTATATTATGAGTATAGTTGCTTACAAAACTGATGATTAAGTTAAACACAGACTGCAACCCTCCCACACCAAGCAGTATCAGCAGAGATGTTTCATTCAAAGCGCAAGGTGTTTCGTCAGGCTGAAATAATAAAAAAATAAAAAAATTAGTAGAATGGTAGTTTTAATTGTCAAATTTTTGATGCCCCTATTATGTGACACCTCCAATCTTTGACTTGAAAAACCTTTCACTGCACGGATGGCGCAGTGGTTTAAGCGGTCGCCACGCTGCTTATTATTATGCTGAGTGTTGTGGGTCCGATCCCCACATGGGACGACACTTTGTGTGATCCACAAATTGTTCTGAGTCTGGGTGTTCTTTGTGTCCGTTTCATGTACGTTTGTGAAGTCCCCCGCGACACAGGATATATTCATAATGCGGGCGTTGTCATAGAAAAAAAACACCGCATGGAAATACGGAAACTCGATCTGATTCTGGGGGGGGAAGATTAAAAGGGGAGCAAAGCACTTGTGACTCTTGAATTGTTGGTGTGTATGGATGGTAGTCACTTCCCATTAGGAGACCCGTCTGCTCGTTTAACCTACTATCATCATCATTCATCATCAACTGCTTTTAGTAGTCCACTAAGTTTTCCTTCTCTTTGCAGTGCTGTTTTCATGCGTAATTTAGTCCTTTAGTTAGCTGTTACGACACCCACAAGATGAATATGGGTGGTTACACTTCGTATTCTTAATTCATCACCATACGGAATACCTTTCTATATTATATAAAAAATTGAACTCTTTGAGGTACTTTAATGGTAACTTTCTTTCCTCTACCTCATTCGATAACTGTTTTATTCCCAAAAGAAGTGACGTAATGCAATGAAAAAACCAGCTAAGAATTTAGGTAATAGGCAACCCTGCTGTCAATAGGCAACACAGACTTTTTAGTATCTGACATACGTTTATGTACGCTCTACGTAGGAAGGAAAATAGGTAAAAAAAGCCGTGTGGTGTCGTGGGACACCCGATAGGAACGAAGTTGTGACGATCGAGTAAAACTGATTCGACACGATTTTAACTACAACGCCATCTATGAAAGCGGCTATTACCTACATATGTTTCAGTTGGTTTCTAATTAAAACAATTTATACATTGGTAAAATCTCCTTGAAAAATGATTTCCTATCTATTCGATAGATGTCGCTGAATGACTGACAAGTGACAATTCAAAACAAATACTGAGATGAAAAGTAATGATTTCCTATCTATTCGATAGATGGCGCTGTATGACTGACATAAAAAGTGTCGTTACAACTTTTCATGAGAATTCTTTCCGTCTAGTCCCCTTTCACAACGCGCGATAAGGAACTACGTTCCAAAAATTAAAGGGAAGCTGTATTTTCGCAGAGTTTTTCACCATCTGTACAATGTCCATAGTCTACGGTTACAGCTTCTATGTTATCAAGTTTTTCCTCTAAATTTAGTTGAAAAGTTGAAAAAATACTCACATTTACCGGTGCACTACCGCTGTTTAATATATCACACACTGTGAGGTCAGTACTATCACCTGTTTGTATGATACGTACGAATTGGTTCGCAATCGTCGGCATCCACACTACGAAGGCAGTTAATCTGGAGCATAAATGAATGGTGTTTTATCTGGTATTACCTTTTGTCCGCGGCTTCGACTGCGTGTTTGTCGGTTACCGCGGTAAAAAGTAGCCTATGTTACTCGCTGATAATGTAAAAAAAAAAAAAAGAATTTTAAAAATCGGATTAGTGGTTTAGGTGTGAAATCGTAACAAACAAACAACCTCACTTTCACATTTATAATTTAAGTATGGTATGTATCATAGAATTATCTACCAAAACAATTCAATATTTTCATCAGAAATTTAAGCTATGCTCTATTGTTCAAATGCATGTTCTACAATTCAATCAGTTTATATTGAGTTATTATACTACAGACTACTCAGATACTATACTTTTCATTGCATAAAACGTTTAAATGAATAGCGAATCTCGCAGTGACAAAATAAACCGTAATTTAGATAGCACAGCGTTTATTACGCTATTAAGCATACACTTGTAAGTTGCCTCTCCTTTTATTGAGTAACTCTCTTCGTGTCACGATACGATTGCATTTCTATACCTTTCGATGTTGGAAATGTGGAAAACGTGAGGTTGTTCCTTGTTTTTATTTCAGTAATCGAATACGATGACATAATTCTGTTGTCGTATGAAGCAACTTTCAAAATTATACTTAAGTAATATCATTTAGATGACTCAATATAGCACGTGAGAAAGTTTCGAACTAACATGCGGTTTAGTCCTGCAAGTCGGGTCTGCTACGTAGCTTAGTGCTTTAAACTTACCTGGCCTTTAGTTTAGGTTAGTGGGCCAGTAGGCTAGTATTTAAGTATTTATCATATTAACTTTAAGCGGTAATAAAGATAAAAATATATGAAATTGTACGTCCAAAATTAGAAGATATCAATTTGTTTAACAGTGTATATAATCAGATAAGTAGGCACTTAATATAAAAACTGATTGAAATATTCTAAGTCTATAATAGTTTTTACTCTTATATTAATTTTAAGAGAACCAATTGATACTGGAGTTTTAAAACATTGAAATGATTGATAAGAAAATAATAAAACTACAGAACATAATTATAGTTTAAAAAAAGTAATGCCGTTTTCAATGTTCCTGAATTTCAAATTAAAAAAAAATACATTCTTCATGGTTAAATAGCTCTCAAAGGAGTCAAGAATTAAAAATGAAAAGCTCTATCTGATTTAAATACTCTTGTAGTGAACGCTTAACATTTAGTGTATTGCAATCTACTAAATGTTATAGTTGCCGTCTAGATCCTAAATACGGCTGAGTGTTGTGGGTACAATCCCCACATGGGACGACACTTTGTGTGATCCAAGAATTGTTGTTCTGATTCTGGGTGTTCTTTGTGTCCTTTTCAAGTATGTTTGTAAAGTCCCCCGTGACACAGGACATATTCCTAATGCGGGAGATGTCTTTTTAATAAAGAAAGAAAGAAAAAAGAAAGATCCTGCTAATGTTTGACACGGCTTTAATCGCAATACTTACTGTTGGCCTACATTCATGAAGAGCATGATGATAGTGTACTTGAGGAATGGAGCCTGGAGCAAAGGCAGTATCTGGTCCTTAACTGAAGCATTGTCTGTGCTTTGTAAGCTTTCATCCTTGACGAGACCTTTGAGCTGAAAATTAAAAAGTAATTTTATTAAGGATTTGTACCACTAGTTATTGAGAACTAAATTAGATATTTTTTTTCGTCACTTAATAGGCTTTATAAGTTTTCGAATAAAACTTCGATTCGATCCTAAATAAAAATAGTAACAAATTAAGAATTATAATTACTTCTTTTTAATTACATAAAATTATTAAAGCTATTATAATCTAGATATAAGTTTAAATAGTAAAGCTATACAGAGTGTGTATAATATACATCATACCTGAAACTCTTCCTTAGACCTCCAGTTATTAATTCTATGGATAGCTCTTAGTGCTTCCAAAGCCTTTATGTCATCTTTCTTATTAAAAATGAACTTTGGACTTTCTTGCATGAAGAAGAGACACACTGCGCATATGACGGCTGGTGCGCTGTACACCAGCATCAGCGTACGCCATGAGTTCATGTAAATGCCCAAACTTGGTAGGTAATGGGAAAATCTTAGGGGAATTATGGGAATCGCGAACACTGAAAGGAGAAGTGTCTGTGTAATGTTTTGCTTTTACTTTACTATTAATGTCGTAAAGGCCGTCTAAGGAAGCAAACTACGCAGGACAATAGCACTACAAAGAGAAGGAAAACTTGAAATAAACTGTATACCAACCCGTCTGGCTAGCGTGGTATCGTAGGCCAAAACCTCCTTTCTAAGGAGATGCCTATATCCAGCAGTTTACAATTAAAGATGTGATAATGTTACAAGAATAAAGTCTATTAGTTGCCGTATTAAAGAGTTTATTTATGCAAATTTATTTTGCATAAAGCTTAAGACTTCTTTTGTTTGACGGGTTTTTAGACACGCTAATATTTCTTCTAATAGATATCTAGTAGTTAAAAATATTTCGAGTGGGCCCTAGCCGTTCGGCCATGATTCTTAAAATTTATCATAATTCAAAACACAACTATAGGAAAGCTATATTGCTTATACTGATGGTTTAGCAAGTGTGATCAATATCTCGAGCAGGTTGAGATCACATTCACAACGCTAAATACCTAATTTTTAATTCTTTGACTAAATAAAAAAGTTTATTTGATGAAGCTACAGCACAGCAAGATAATAAGTATCTCTTTGGTAAAATAGTAAGATGTAACATTAAGTTCGCCTTACTCAACAGGTGACCAAGTCTGCAGGGGGGGGGGGGAGCAAGGATTGCCCTTTCAGGGTGAACTTGAGACCACTGCAAAAGGCCTCTTTACGGAATACTGTGTGGTTTTAGTCGGTTCGTGTCTTACATACCGTTTCCTCACTATTTGACTCTGATCAGATGACGACTCGTGGGGGTTGCCACACATAAAAAATGGTGTAATTTCGTAAGAATTCCATATAACTGACATAGGAAATACCGCGATAAGGTTTCGATTTATTCATCTAATTGTACTTACGCGCCATAATGCCTTGTGCGAGCATCATAACACTTGACACTATTAATACACTGGTGTTTCTGTAGGCCATCGGAATGGACTCGCTCAGCAACGTCATTGAAACTGAGTATATACCCGCTGCGCTGAAATGGAGAATGGGAGGGATACATTTATTATTTAATGGGTATAATCTTAGGCCAAAACCTCCTTTCTAAGGAGAGGCCTATGTCCAGCAGTGGACTAGTATAGGCTGTTGATGATGATGATGAATCTTTTTCTATAATAAGGGGCTATGAATAGTATACACTTACAAGACTCCTGCTAGAACCTGGAAGACCAATAACATAATCCAATTGACGGATATAGTGGCGATGATGTTAAGAACAGACGCACCGAGGAGAGCTATCAGCAGCATGGCGCGTCGGCCACGAGTGTCTGCCAAATAACTCCATATGACACCGCCAATTAACAGACCTGTAGACGTCAAAGAGTATGGTAGTTTTCTTTTTTTTTTAAAGACAACTTCTGCATTTGAAATATATCCTTTATCGCGAGGAACTTTTACAAAGAACATCCAGACTCAGAACAATAATTTGTGGATGACACAAAGTGTTGTTCTAATCGTTTGGGGATCGGGAGCGTGGCGACCGCTTAAATCACTACACCATCCGTGCAGTCAATTCGTGTAGGGATCATGACCGGGAAAGAGTATTACTCAATTTTAGCAAATAATAATATTTTTGAATTAGATCCCCTTAAAAAAAATTAACATCGAATATAACACCAATTATTTTAACAAAATCTCTCATGTATCGAGGCGTATAGTCTCACACGAACTCCTAATGGATAGATGTATGTTTAACATTCTTCTTGTTTTTTCATTATTTTCACATTCGTGTGAGCTTAGTAATAGTCACCATTAAGTTTATCATTTAGTATTGAAGGCCTGGCAACCTATATCAGGCACCACTCTTCGCAAATGTACCTATTCTATGTTCTACTTATATTTAGCCATGATAGTGTAAACAGTACATTTGTGATGACAAGTAAATAGTCATCCCCATCAACCAATCTGTGGAACCTGAAGATTCCTGTATAACTTAGCTTCTTAGGTTAACACTACCTAGTTCCTCAATTTAGCGATAGACGGATATGATACGGCCGGCCTGTTGGTTTAGTGGTTAGTGAGCCTGACTGCTAAGCCAAAGGTCGTGGGTTCGATTCCCACCCAGTACAAATAATTGTGTAATGAGCATGTTCATTTTTCATATTCTGATGTTGATAGTTTACGAATAAATTGTAAATATGTATGTATGATTGACTGCCTCGGTGGTGCAGTGGTAGGGTATGCGACTGCTGTGCTGAGGTCTCGGATTCCATTCCCGGGTCGGACCAAGTGTTTGTGTGACCTGGAAACTTTGTTTCTGACTTTGGGTGTCTATGTATAATATGTATGTAATTACAAAGAAAAAAGTATATAAGTATTCTATCAGTCAATCTAGCTTTCATAGTACAAGCTCTGCTTAGTTTGAAACTAGATGGCGTTGTGTGTTAGATGTCCGAAATATTACTATTATTTATATGTGTAAATACATATAAATTTGTGTGTTTAATATGTTATATAATATACAAGTTTATGTATGTATGTAGTGAACTGCGTACATATTAATTGTTTTTTTAAATATATATTTTCATTAATAACAAATGTAACCCATGTTCCTACCTTATAGGATTTCTACATCAGCCAAAGGTAAACTAGTAGCGGATTTCTTGGGCCGCCTTTACTACTACTAATAAATTTACAAAATAAATAAAATCATAATGAAATATAAACAATGGTGGCTGGAAATCGTGTATAAACACTGACAGTGTTACAAATTGTTTCGATGACCCTGTATGATCCATATCATATCAAAATATAGAATTATGAGTCTTAGGTAAAATAAATACATCTCTATGTGTGATTTCAGAACGTGTATATTAAATAGATTAAATTACGTGCATTGAACAATTGAGTTTGACAATGTAGACAATAAATATGAATGTTTATGATTTCATTCAATTTGTTATATCGCCTGTTTACAAAACATAACTTCTTAAAGTTAGTAACTGTTCACAGGAAATATATTGTACAGTATGTCATCAAGATGGATGGTGACCTGAGAAAGGTAGCTGAAGTAGATGGGATGCAGAAGGTGGAAATCGAGGCTCTGACGCACGTTCGAAGAGGCCTAAGTTTAGCAGTAGACTACAATAGTTTGTTGATTGAATACACACACACACGTACATAGACACCCCCTTTTAATATATATTTTTTGTTTGAATTAATCTCTGTTATTATCTGATCTCTATATATATGTTAATATATTAAGTTGGTTTGTGTACGCTTCAAAACCTTAAAACGTTTTGCACCTTGAGCTCAAAATTTGACACGATATACAACACGCTTCAAAGTAAGTTTTATCTATTTTATATTCTAAATGGCAACCACAATGTACCACAGCAAAGAGTGATGCAATATATACGGTATAGACAACATTTTATACAGTAGTCTGTTATGGCTATACAAAAAAAACATCAATTTCTTAAGTGCATCTTACAAGTGCATGGTGTACCCCAAGGCGTTAGACTCGGGCCCCTGCCTTTTTTATAAATTTAATTGAATGTTCTCTATCATCAGTAATACAGCCAACGACATTCTTTGTTGCACTGTACTTTGCATGCATATTAGTATGTAGATTTTTGCCATCAATATTATAAGACTAGAAAATAATAAAAAGATACTAAATAACTTAAGAATTAAAACTATGCGTGTCTTATTACTTTTATAAAAGTAACAAGATAAACAGATCTCTACTATTCCGATAAACATAACTATATAAAGTACAAAGTTACAGTTATTATCTTCTTCTGGCTCTTTCCCCAAATCATTTTGGGGTCGGCGCAGGCCATCCAATTTTATATCCATCAACTGCTATTCATAAAACTTTCATCACTAATTTTGGTACTAGTTACAGTAAACACTATAAAATATATTTGTGCCTGTGCTGAATATAAAAAAACTTACTAATGATTGTTCCCGAGGCTAGCATTCCTTGCTGGCTAGAAGTAGTCTTTAATTCACACGCACTGGTGGGCACTATGAACGGGCTGCCGTATGCAATGCATGTGAACGAAATCAATATAAGACTAGTCAGGCACGTCAGTAAGAAGCCGTAGAGGCCAAAACCTGGAAAAGATTAAAGTAATGAGTAATACTAACGCTTTTTTAACTGCCCCGTTGGTCTAGTTTATAGTGACCCTATCTGCTAAGCTAGTAATCGTGAGCTGGATTCCCGCCCCGGAAAAATATTTGTGCGATGAGTACGATCATTTGTTATGTGTCTGGGTGTAACTTATCAATATTTAGAAAAGTAAGAACGAAAGAAAAACTATATTTTGGCAATGACAGTTGTGACAATTTTGAAGCTTGAGTCACCACCGATGCCAAAAATGGATCCAATTTAGTATTTTGTCAGACGAAAGTAAAAGTATGTTTATCAGCAGTCTGGTTACCATATTATAGGCTCTGTTTAGTTTGGGATCAGACTGTCCTATGTGAGATGAGTGACGTTATTATCATATTTATGTATATTTGTGTCACCACCCCAATTCATCCCATGGGTGTCGTAAGAGCCGACTAAGGGAGCAAACTAAGCAGGACAACAGCACTGCAAAGAGAAGGAAAACTTGAAACAAACCCTATACCAACCCGTCTGGCCAGCGTGGTATAGTAGGCCAAAACCTCCTTTCTAAGGAGAGGCAAATGTCCAGCAGTGGACTAGTATAGGCTGTTGATGTGATGTGATGTGTATATTTGTGACAAAAATTGGGCGAATGATAATTTCTTAATCACCATCTTCACTTGAGTAAAAAGGTAGGAATAAACAATTAGCTTTAGTTTTTTATTTACTGTTTAAAGCCAACAGGGTGAGGGAGCTTAAAGAGGGTCGTGTACCCCTATTTCCGTCCTATGATTGGAAAAATATCTATGAAATAATAAATAAAATTTTAGTATGTTAGTAAGTGATAGGGCAATGAAAAAAATAATATATAATCTTTTATCTTTTCTCACATTACGAGTACATAATGTACTGCAGAAATGTTAGTAGACAGATGATTTTAGATCCCTATGTTATATACAAATACATACATTTTACATAGACCATTAATAACTTTAAGAAAAATCATAATTGTATAGAAACCTTATTTTACAACTAAAATACCGCAATGTATATATTTCTTATCGGACGTTTAACATTTTTTTAATTTATTTATCCCAAGATATAAAATTTGTTGTAATTTTTTTATTTGGGTGATACTTTAGGAGTTTATTATTAATTATTATAAATCATATTCTTCAAGTTTTAATAATACTGTGTAAAACCGATATAATATAATAATCCGAATAAATTAATGATGCTTCTTGCTTTTATTTAACTTAGAATCATAGAATATTCATAAAATTATATTTATCCAGGCAATAAAATACATACCTGCTTTGTCCAGGGCTGCCTCCAGGTCCAGTTTATCAGAATCAAATTTAACACTTTTTTTAACATAATGCATTTTTATTAAATATTTAGTAACTACCACTAATCACATTAACATAAACAGAATCAGAAAACTATTTTTTTTCCAATAAAATTACAATTTATTTTTATGCATCAGGACACCCGCTTACTATTGTAAATATAATAACACTGAATTGTATTTAATACTGACTGAATAATATAATACTGATTGTTACTTTATAACTTCAAGACTTTGTATCGACTATCGGCTTAAACAATATTCTTCATTGTCTTAGATTTGATTTTTCCCGACACCGTTTTCAATTATGTCGTAATAAAGTTATCAAAGCAGGCCATGTGCGCGGTCCACTATGTCCCTGGCCAGGTTTGTACTATTTATTGTTATCAGAAATACTTTAGATGTTGTCCTTAGATAAAGGCCCGCATTTAAAATGGATATGTTTGTTTTTATAGTTTTGATATATTATTTCCAGCTGTGCCTGCCACGTTTGTGAAACATTGTGGTTGCAATAGTGAGAAATGAAATGAGAAAACTTTATGTATTTTGGAAGTGTACACAGAACTAATCATTTTTATATCTATACCTACTAATATTACAAAGTTAAAGAGTTTGTTCGATTAACAATAACTAGTAGCATACGGGTAGGGAATTTATGCACAAATTAAGAACTAGGTGTGTTTTAAAAAGTGTCACTTTAAATTACAAATAATCTAATTAATATACATCTGAATAGAGGCTTTTAAAGAGAAGAGTTGATGAAGTATTTGATTTTTTTGTTTTAAAGACAACTCCCGCTTTAGGAATATATCCTGTGTCGAAGGAGACTTTACAAACATATATGAAACGGAAACAAAGAACACCCAGACTCAGAACAACAATTTGTGGATCACACAAAGATTCATCCAATGTGGGGATCGAAACTACGACACTCAGCGTAGTAGGAAGCGGCGTGACAACCGCTTAAACCACTACGCCATCCGTGCAGCGATTAAATATTAGGTATACGGTAACATCAGAGAATTTTGAATCTTGCCGTTCAAGCGAGGCTATTGTAGAGTACTCAGTAACCCAAATAGGCTTGTCTCTTTTGATACGGGTGTCAAAATATGTGATGTAACAGAATTGAGGTGTCTTTCAAGGAAGAGTTTTTTTATGTAGGCAGGTATTTGATGCGTGTTATTTTGTTATGTTTTTGATGATCTTATATTCTGACTAGCTTTTGCCAGTGACTTCGTATGCGTGGTGGTCGATATCAGATATCGTAGAGGATACGCTACTACCCAAAAATAATGAAGTTGCAAATAAATTTCCAACACCAATTTTGCACCCTTAAAAATGTAATTTTAAAAATTATTTCTTAGTGCACACCTACGTCACCTAAGGAACATTTGTGCTAAATTTCTTGCTTCTAGAACCAGCGGTTGCAACTGTGCGTTGATCGACCGTCCAGTGACTCAGTCTGTCAGTTTCTTGTTTTATAAATATAGATTAAATTTTGTAGTACTTAGGACGAGACTTAGTAGACTTAGTACTTAGAAATGTAATAATAATATTATAATAATAATAACTTCACACATCTCACACACGGTGATGGTTAGATTGAATTGCTGTCTTCGTGAAGATCCATTCTTCGTCACAAATGGGTCGGCTCGAACGGAATGATAACACGGCTTCACAGAAAACAGTGTTAAGCAATTTTGCGTAGTTTTGACGACTTTTGTAAGGTTACCAGATCCCAAATCACCCCTTCGTCTATTTCTGGGAGGGACTTAAAGACAAAAAAAACTAAAATATTTAAGCAGCGTCTTTATCGAAATAATTAAACATAAAGAAAAGACTAGCTAGTCTGCATCTGATAAGAAATTTAAAGAAATTACAAACTTAATATTATATTACTTACCTATTTTTAATATTAGATTATATTAAAGAAATATATAAACATTATATATTTGTTTGAATAAGAGTTAATCTCGACAAGTCTTTATATGTTTACATGTTGATAGCCATGTATTTGTTCACTTAAACGCAATACTTTTTATAAATTACATTGATTAAGACACTCAATATATGTGTATTGTTACGATCTTGAAAATAGATGTCTTCAGTAATTATATTATTTCTGTAGCTAGAAGACCATCACATACTCAAAACCTACTAACACAAACAAGAAACTGCTCAGTTATTGCTGTGGGTTTTCGCTTCTTCCACAGCACACACCCATCCCACAGTTTATTCCAGGCCTAGACAACTGTTTGAATGTTTGGTGTATATATAATGAAAGATGTTCAAAACTGCGTGGTTTCCTTTTCGGCACTGTTTAGTCAACAGACTATAGTTTCAAGTAGGTATAAGGTGAGACATCACAAGGGCGATTGTAGTCATTGACCCAAAAAACGTTACGTTACTTTTTAAGACTAAAATTTATTTGAAACTAGATGAAAAAATCTAATGTTATCGCGGAAACAGCTTGAATTTAGAAATAGGAGGAAGTTCTCGATCTGAGGTATTTTTTCTTTGTTTAAATATCGGTTTATATATTACAAATAAACGGAACACTTATTAAAATCACGGAAAGGACGTAACTCTAACATGCACGTTAAAAAAAACGATTAATTTCAAAGCTATGACTATTTTTAATTTTTAAGTATTATCAGCTCCGTTTCTCATAAAACCACGAGTTACGTTAAATATTTTAAATCGAAGAAATGTTTTTAATTAGAAATTATTTAATCAATTACTGAGAAAAGCCATAAATTCATGGATTTTTTCATTCACCAGTATAATTTAAACTTAAGGGCCCAAACATAAAACTTCGGCGCGACGTCGCATCATAAAAACTTGAAAATTGATTCGCATCTCGCACTTTTTCGGTGTTCGTAACACCGCAAAAGTGCGTGCGTGGAAGACACCGTGGAAGGTAGACGCCTTGCCGCACGAATTCGCATCGCAGCAAATCGCGTCGCAGTTTTCTGCACTGCGAATTCACATCGCGACGTAATACAGCTAAACGGAAAACAAATAGAGATTATGTTGTCAATAGTAAAAATAAATGTAAGGCGACCTGGTCAGTTATTAAGAGTGAAGCGAGCTCTGCAAATAAGGGCAATTACATTACTGAGATACACAAAAAAGGTGAAAAAATTACAGATCCATTACAAATAGCTAATGAATTCAATCAGTATTTCATATCAACAACTAATACATTGAATAGCGACATTCATAATACATGTACTAAACACAAACAAAAGAACTCAATGTTTTTGTCACCGGTAGACGAGTCGTTCATACATAAAATAATTATGTCTCTTTCTAATACAACATCTGAGGGTTACGATTCTATATGTACAAAAGTTGTAAAAATGTGCAGCTATCAACTAACTCCTATGCTTACATTTCTGGTGAATCTTTCATTAGAGACAGGGACTTTCCCTCAAAAGCTTAAGTACTCAGTTATAAAACCTCTGCACAAAAAAGGAGACAAAACGACACTGAGTAACTATCGCCCTGTTACAGTACTGCCAGTGTTTTCAAAAATATTTGAAAAAGTTATGCATGAGAAACTTACATCTTTCTTCAAGATGAACGGTGTTATTGTGGGGAACCAATTCGGTTTTCAAAGAGGAAGATCTACCAGAGATGCAGCTTTCTCTTTGGTCAACGACATCCTTCAGAGTGTCAATGAAAAAATGTACACAACGGTGATGTTTCTTGATATGTCTAAGGCTTTTGATTTTGTTTCACATGTGCAGCTTCTGATGAAACTTGAGCATTATGGTGTTAGGGGACCTGCTTTGAATTGGCTACAGACATACCTAGATGATAGATATCAATGTGTTGATGTGACACAGTTAACCGCCAAAGACTGTATTGAAGTAAGGAGATCCAACTATGATTTAAATAAATTTGGAGTTCCCCAGGGCAGTGTGTTGGGCCCATTACTCTTCCTGGTCTACATAAACGACTTGCCAGAAGTTACTCACCATAACACTATACTATTTGCTGATGATGTGTCAGTAATAGTAACAACAAATAAAAATCTGACAATTGCACAACACGAAAATGACATCAATAATACCTTGACATCAATTATAAATTGGCTGAATTATAATAATTTACAAATTAATTTATTAAAAACGCATATAATTAATTTTAATAATTTTAATGACGATAACATACATGTAAATGACAATGGACTAAGCATCTCGATGGCTAACAATACGACATTTCTTGGCATAGTTATCAATGATAAACTTAACTGGAAGGAACATATAGAGAAAATCGCAAACAGGATAAATGGATTCTCTTTCGCTCTGTACAAACTGGCAAAAGTATCTTGCCAAATTACAGCATGTACAGCGTACCTTGCGTATGTCGAATCTGTGTTAAGGTATGGGTTGTTGGTATGGGGTAACGGAACAGACATAGAATAAGGCTTTTATAGCACAAAAACGGTGCATTAGGTCCATATGTGATATCGCTCCGGACGTATCTTGTAGGCCATATTTTAAAAAACTAAAGATCCTCACACTACCGTGCTTGTACATCCTCGAGGTATGCAAATTCATAAGACAGCACCCTCAATCATTTAAGCAAGCGAAGGATGTCACCAAAAGGAGCAACATTAGAAATCCAAATAGACTTGTGTTGGACATGGTACCTAGGTCAAAAGAATTCAAAAAAATTGTTACGCGATGTGCATAAAAATCTTCAATAAAATCCCAGAACGATTTAAAGAACTACCATTAAATAAGTTCATTCCAGCCCTGAAAGATTGGTTAATTACAAATACATTTTATTCGGTCAAAGACTTTTTGAATGGTGGAGAGTAGTAGGTATAATTAATAAAAGTGAAATTATAATCAATACACAAACACTGATGAATAATGATGATAATAATAATAATAATATTTAATAATGTTAAATTAACAATGATAATGTTAAATTAATAATAATAATGTTAAATTAATAATAATAATGTTAAATTAGTAATAATGATGTTAAATTTGCATGCTATCTTCATGGCTAAATGGGCCTGTTCGCACTATATTGAACCTTTAATACCACAACATGTACCACCCCATTTATAGCAAATATATTATTTGAATTTGAATTTGAATTTGACGATTCGCAGTTTTGTGTGAGAGCCCCAAACAAGTATAACTTAAACATTGTAAAGACTTTTGTACCAATACAGCTCAAAATTGACCAATTCTTTTAACTTTGTCTACATATAAAACATTTAGTATTCAAAGCACGACATGCTTTCTTGCGTCATATTTGTTTAAAAATTGAGACAAAAATTTACTTCAAGTACATAATAATCTCCTTTCTAAGGAGAGGCCTATGTCCAGCAGTGGACTAGTATAGGCTGTTGATGATGATGATGATGATGACATAATAATAATAATATACGTATTATATGCAGGTATTATACGTATCATACCTAAACGGTAAAGAAGTACGTTAACACACTGCAGTTAAGCAATCAGTTTATGGATGGGTGACCATTCTTAACATATTAAGACCCCATTATCTGTGGCAATCGTTACGGGTAGTTGGAGCTCTAAAAAGACCGACAATAATCTTCCTACAGAACTTCGATATCACCTAGTTCTTAGGTTGTGTTAACCGTGTTAAAAATCGAAGTTCAGTCGTTTCTTATTAGACTCAAAGCCGACTCCATAGGTTGGGAAAAAGGCTCAGTGGAAAAATTAATATTTGGATATCACGATTTCATAACGGGTTGCGATTTAATAGCTTTAATGTGGTTGCTGAATAATGTATGCACTTTACTACATACGTGTCGAAGTACCAGGAGAACTCCTCAACAAGTAGGAGTTTCACGTCGGAAAAACCAATGTCTTGTAAGAAGAGATGAGCCGTTGACTACAGAATCGTAATTTAGATAAATTTCAATTCTAAGGGTAATAAAAAAAAATTATAGTTTAAAAAACCTAAAAACACGCTTTCTATAGAAAACCAAACTAAAAAATAGAAAATAAATTTGAAAAAAAGCGTGGGGTGCTTTTTATTATTGACAACAGACACCCAACACTTTTTTTTAAATTTATTTTCTATTTTTTAGTTTGGTTTTCTATAGAAAGCGTGTTTTTTAGTTTTTTAAAACAATTTTATTTTAAATTAGTGTATTGCCATCGGTCCTCGATATATCTACAAAGTTTGAACGAATTCTGACCGTTTAAAGTCAGACAAAATCACGCCCAAAGGAGTCGGTTACAAACATACAAACAAACATACAAGTGAAGCTAATATAAAGCGTGTAAAAATAACAAGAAATTATGTTTGTTTGGATACCTTACCATATTTATTATGAGGTATCTTTTGAAATAATCTGAAATTGACGAGACGGCAAATATTGGAGACATAATAAAAGCAAATTTCTTTTTTTTTTAAAGGGTACAAAAAATATGTTTGTCTTTGACAGCGGTGTGACTATCGCTGCCCATTAACACCTGCTACTCGAGGGTGTACCAGTGCGTTGCCACCTTAGGCCCCCCTCAAGAATCAGCCGGAGCGTGTTGGTCTCCGGGGACCTTCATCAAATTCATTAAGCAGATAAATGTCGTGATAAAGTAAGTTTTGTGTATAAAGTATTTTAGGGGTCCAGTAATTAATAATTCCGCGTTATGGGTATAATAATTATACATTTATATAAATTTCTTAGAAAATACATTTACAATGATCTTATAAACTCATATTATATTAACTTATTCTATATTATATCTATAGTATGGATGTATTTATGAAAAATAGTATAAAAGTATTATTTCAGTCAATCTAGCTTTCGTTACAAGCACTGCTTAGTTTGAAACTACGAGTTGATGACGTTAAAAAATTTCATAACTACTTATAACTTAGAGTGAAAAGAAGATTCTTTCTCAAAGAAGTTCATAAGAATGTAACCAAATCTTGAAATCGAAAAGAAAGAGAATAACATGAAAATATATTAATATATTTTATAAGCTAAAAAAGCTAAAATACATATTTGCGTGTTAATAATTTAAATAATACCAACACTAAAAAAAACACAAAACACTTCTAAATACAGAAATAGAGAATTTTTAGAATAAAAAGAAAATGAAAATCACAGAAATACGCACACACATTCACATTCATGTATTAGCACCTCATTAGTTGATATTTTTCATTACTCATTCATTCATTCATTACTCCCTTAGCAAGACATTCTAGTCTGGAGATCATTGAACGGTTTAATCGTCATATAAATTTATGTAGTACAATTACTCATGTAATACAATTGCAGCAACATTACCAACAATTACAGCAAAAACAATACCTCTTTACTTATACTTAATAATAATAATATAATATTCTACTACATTCACACAACGCCATCTAGTCCCAAACTAAGCAGAGCTTGTACTATGGCTACTAGACAGCTGACATAAATACATATAGACTTTTTCTTTTTGTAAATACATACTTATTATACATAGAAACACCCAGACCAAATAAAACATTAAATGTTCATGCACACAAATGTTTGACTTGAGCGGGAATCGAACCCACGACCTTTGGAATAGCAGTCCGTTACAAAACCACTACGCCATCCGGTCGTCAAATAATTATACTTACGAGTATAATTATTTTTTACACTACTGTTATACTTGTATCACGAAGACTTTTTATTCCAAGGAAATAGTAATGCCGAGGTAAATTCTTACGGATGATTCTCTAAATCACACTTTAGTTGCTTATGGTACGTAAATGAAGTTATTTAGAAGTCACAGAACAATTTTTTGTCAAATCACTCTAAATATCAGCAAACAAGTATTTATATTATTTAGAGGGTTTTAAGTTACCTTTAACAGCCAGCTCACCTACTGACCTGACCTACTATCCGTATAAGCAATATACCTTTCCTATAATTATTTTTTCCATTTTCAAAACTCTTTCTTTCATATAGAACTCCCAATTTTCCCATCTAATTCATAGAGTGACAGGTTAACTTCAAAGGCCTTCCCCCATGTACGAGTAAGTTAAAGTTTTTTGATACGACTCTGCCATCCCCTTTTGGGGGCGGAGTATATGTATGCATTTAAATACCTATTTTGCCTCTCTCATAAATTGACAGTCTTGCAGATTGCTTTTAAGCTTTTTTTAATAACATTATATTCTCATTTGATTTTTCAGCTCAACCAATATGTTTGTGTGAAGTTTCTTAATACATCTTTTTGGCTGGTGTTTCTGTATCTTCCTCTGACTCTTGGGGTGTTTCCGTCGTCTGAGCTTTTCGGTCATCTGGCAGGAACAATGCGGCTACTGCGGCCGCTGAAACGAAAAAAATTGGTATGATACTACCTATTTAAAAATCTAATTAATATTATTGGATGACTTAGTACAAAAAATGTTCCATCCTCTTCTTCTAGCACCTAATACATATGGCTTGTGCTGGATTCGTATGATCCTCAATGCTAGCGGCAGAATATTCTTAGGAGCGTGTATGGGCGTTATAAGTATTTAAATACGCATACTTATGTTTATTGTTTTAGATAATATGTGTATTTTATGCGAAAGTGTTAATTACTAATTAAATGAGACATAGGATTACTAGTATTTGATGTGATGGCAACTGCATTTTGCCTGTTGCCGTCTATCAATGGCGAATTTCTGAACCGCATAACTAATTTTTAGTTTTTTTTAATATGAATAGTAAAGTTAGGATTAAATCTTTAAGTTTTATGGTTATGTTCAAATATATGCGCTAAGTTATAGATGAGTCAGTCGAATCTATATACATATATATAAGAGATTTCCACGTATATAGTCACTCATCACGATATCTCTGGAACCATTAGAGCTAAAGACTTGAAATTTGGTAGAAATATTCTTTTCACCAAGTAGAGGTCAGCTAAGAAATTCGAAATCGGATTTTAAGAAATTAAAAAAAAAAGATTAAATAATGTAAATGGTCAGCTAGTAAGAAATATAATGAGAAAGAGAAAGATGTTAAAATTAATCACAAATTTATGTTAGGTTGTCACTAACCGATATACAGAGTGACAGCTGTGAGTTGGTATCATATTTTCTCACTCATAGTCATGCAATTATGGAGTGTAGATGTATTGGCGCATTATCTTGTATGGGTAGCAATCCGAAAAAGTGTGGAATAAAAAGTAGCATGTAATAGTTCTAAAAACGACTAGGATGGCGTTAGTGTAGCCAAAGTGAATAACATGAACATAACAGTTATAGACGGAGAAGATTAAGAAGAAGGTTTTGGCCTGCTATACCCCGCTGGCCAGACGGGTTGGTATAGGGTTTGTTTCAAGTTTTCCGTCTCTTTCCAGTGCTGTTGTCCTGCAGAGTTTCCTCTCTTAGTCGGCTCTTACGACACCCACGGGATGAATAGGGGTGATGACACTGTATTCTTAATCCGTCACCACACTGAATATGCTGAGTTGAGGTACTTTTATTATCTATATTACTCGTATTATAACTGCTTTCGAAGTCTGCTTATGCTAGCTACACAGAGTCCAATTATTTTTTAGCCAAAAAATTACAGAATGTTTTTCTTTCCACGTTTATTGATGTATTCTACTCTAATAACTTTTGGAGCTGTCTTTAAAATTTACAATTTTTATACACAAAGATGGTTTTCGTTACCTCTACACAACATACTAACACTGTTCAATTGAGAACTGACAGGTATATTACGTAAGCAAAGGCAATGCGACTGATTTGGAGAAAACTTTAAGTTATTATAATTTTTATTATAATTTATATATATTTTTTCTCTTTCCCATTGAGTTCTTTTTCAATGAGAAAATAGAATAATTTCCTTAAAATAAACGAATTAATACTATTGCCGAAAGTTTGTCTACGCCTCCATTGTTGAAAATGAAAGAGGTGTTTATGATGTCAATTTTCTTCTGACTTAATTACTTCTAACAGCAGAAAATACTCACAAGTAAATAAGGACCCAAATATGTAGAAACCAGCTGCACAGTTGAATGTAAGGAGCCAGTTCAGTAGCTGAACGGATGCCACAATACCTAAGTATTGAGTTATCATTGTAAATGAGATAGCCATTGCCCTGTAAAAGGAATAAAACAATAGTAGTTAGCGAGTTGCTTTTTTTTACGTGTGGAAACCCCCTTGGGCAGTCAACTCATCAGGGTTTGCGGCGGGGTGGTGTGTCGGAATCGGACCAACAAAAACCACAGGCGCTAGGAGGGGTCCGGATACTAGCGCCTGCCCACAAGTGCGCGGATACCACCTTCGGGTACATTCTCTATTTATATTTTTTCTAAATACTTCGGTATTATCGCGTTGCTCATGGAGCCCTTTATGGAGCGTGGCTGTACCGTACATAATAATATAATAACTACTCAAAAAAAAAAAAAGAAACACTAAGTAAGTAAATGTTATTAAAAGCGATTTTAAGAAAAATATATGCCACAAATATAGTAGTTGAGATAGTGACTTCTCGCGATAAAACAAATCACTACAGCAACTAGACGAAGAACAAAAAATATTATGGAGAAAAAGCGATGCACCTACGGTTAGACATGTGTAAGCCTTATTTATTAGTTCTCACGCGCTGTTAACGGGTCTAAGATTTTAGTCCCACTCACGCAAATGGGACTACAACCTTAGACTAGAAAGAGTGGGCGTTTAAAATGCCTCTGTTTACTCTGATGTGATGATGATGAGGTAAAAAAAAAATCTCACCTTAAATTCGTTGGAAACAGAGCAAGACACATAGCAGTTATTAGTCCAACGACTACAACTCCCAGAAGCATGACGCAGAATAACAAACCGCTGCCTATGACATTAGGCACCAAATTCACGAGGATGCCGCTCACACCACATAAGGATATCACGGCTATGGAGATGTTCCGGCGGCCCGTAAAGTTAACCAACTGAAATAATAGCAAAAATACTTTTTTTTTAAGCAGCTTCGTGTGATGTCGGATTAAGAATACAATGTCTCACCACCCCGATTCATCCCGTGAGTGTCGTAAGAGCCGACTAAGGGAGCAAACTACGCAGAACAACAGCACTGCGGTAGAAGGAAAACTTGACACAAACCCTATACCAACCAGTCTGGCCAGCGTGGTATAGTAGGCCAAAACCTCCTTTCTAAGGAGAGGCCTATGTCCAGCAGTGGACTATTAAAGGCTGTTGATGTGATGTGATGTGAAGCAGCTTCTATACCAGCAAAAACAAATCGAGCTGATCCTGAACATATTTATTTTCTTGAAAACACTGTCTAAATAGACGGACCTCAATTATCGGGCCTATTTAATATCTGGTCTTGTAGTTACTAATCCTGACTGCTAAATCTGAGGCCGTGGATTCGATTGCCAGCCATGACAAATAAAATAATGTTCGGAATTCTCGTACATGTGTCGCCCTCACTCGTAAAATATACTCAACAAACTGCTGTTAAAATATTAAAAGGATTTCAGACCAGCTCTTCTTTAAGACACGTTTTCAGTAAAACCTTTTTTTTATTGTATGTTTTTGAACTGTATAACTGCCACAAAAAAAATATGGAAATTATTGCTTACAAAACTGATAATTAAGTTAAAGGTGCTCTGCGACGCTCCCAAACCAAGTAGTATCAGAAGCGATGTTTGGTCCAAAGCGCAGGGTGTGGCATCAGGCTGAAAGGAGTAAATTCAAGATTACTTTATGTCAGTTTTGTATAAACTGTGGAGCGGCTAGTCCAGCATACTTTAAGTAAGCAATGGTTTCGTGTGGTGACGGATTAAGAATACAGAATGTCACCGTCCCTATTCATCGCGTGGGCGGCCTAGGAGCCGACTAAGGGAGCAAACTACGTAGAACGACAGCACTGCAAACAGAAGGAAAAGTTGAAACAAACCCTATACCAACCCGTCTGGCTAGCGTGATATAGTAGTCCAAGACCTTATTTCTAATGAGAGGCCTATGTTCAGCAAGTCGTCGTCGTCGTCGTCGCAATACGCAAATCGTATGTACAGAGTAGCCATTGGTACATCCTATACTCTATGTTCATGGTGGCAGGTGCTATTTTGCGCTCCAGAATCGTGGGTGATATATATTGGGGGTTTATGATTTGTGCGTGACGGGAAAAAAAA